CGGCATTACTAATGAAAATGGATACAACTGAATTAACCAAGATGGAATAAATTATATAACAAAATACTTTGTAATTATTAAAAACTTTAATTTGAAATATTTAACATGAAAAAGTCCTTAAAATATATTAAGTACAAAGAAAGCAGATCACAAGCAACTAATATGTAATTTCCCTGTAAATATTCTACCTTACAGAAAAGGTATTATTTCTAGGTGGCGGGATGGATTTATAGGCGATTTTTAATGTTTTTTTCTTTGTAGGAGACAAAGTCATTACTTCATACGTCTGAAAAGAATAAAAAATGAGAGAGAAAAAGAAATTATACTCGTGATCCTAGGGAGCAGAACTAGGAACTAACACTAGAAATCATAGGGAAGCCAAGTTTGACTCAATGTAAGAAATAACTTTCCAACAATTAGAATTTTCTAAGCAATGAATAGCCAGCCTCATGAAATAATGAATTTTGTATTACTAGAACTCTCAACAAAAGTAAAATGGTCACTTGACAGATATATAGAACAGATTTACGTTAGGAGGTTAAAGAGAAGATCTTAGTGGTCCTTTTCTACTTTATTTTATTTTATTTGTTTTTTACTTATTGTAGAGTCGAGGTCTCACCAAGTTGCCTGGGCTGGTCTCAAACCCCCAGACTCAGGCAATCCACTCACCTCAGCCTCCCAAAGTGCTGCGATTACAGGCTGAGCCCACCAAACTCAGATGTTTGCTACTTTAACTTATAATTCCATGTAAACTTTTCATTAGCTGGGATACCAGAAAGTGGTTGGTATTTCTTTGTAAATGTTATTGAAAACCTATGTGGCACTAAAGATATTATACCTATATTAGAATAATGGCGTTGAAGGGTGATTTATTTTGTTACATTCTACACATCAATAATATTCACACTATTGATAAAGTGAAAGGGGATGGCTAACCCAGTGGTGAGGATTCAAACTGAATTGGCAAGAACAACATATGAATCTACTCCTGACTAATTTCTCTATGTCTGATAAGAACCTGAAGAAGTGCACTTTTCCAAAGTGAAGCAGCACTAAACGTCTCAAAAAGAAGGACAAGAGTACTATGCTCCCTATTTTTGCTTCTGGCTGCAGTATACTGCACATGTAAATAGAGGAAAGATGAAAAATACACTACTCTGCCCTGTGCAATATGGTATATAAAATCTTAAGATCTGGGGCGGGATGCAGTGGCTCACACCTATAATCCAGCACTTTGGCAGGCTGAGGCAGGAGTATCCCTTGAGCAGAGGAGTTAAAGACCAGTTTGGCCAACACAGTGAGGCCTCATCTCTACAAAAAAATAAAAATATTAGTCGGGTATGGTGGCACACACCTATAGTTCCAGTTATGCAGGAGACTGAGGCAGAGGGATCACCTGAACCCAGGAGGTCAAGGCTGCGGTGGCTGTAGTGTGCCTCTGCACTCCAGCCTGGGCAAGAGTGAGACTCCAACTCAGAAAAAGACCAAATACCAGACATCACACTATTTTACTCATGAAAACCTCAACATAAAAAGATTTATTTTCTAGTTAATAATAGTATTTAATAAATGTTAGGCTGGGCACAGTGGCTCACACCTATAATCCCAGCACTTTGGGAAGCTGAGGTAAGAGGATTGCCTGAGCCTACAGGTTCGAGATCAGCCCTAGCAACTAACTGGGTGAAACCTCATCTCTACAATAAATCAAAAAATTAGCTGGGCATGGTGGCACATGCCTGTAGTTCCAGCTATTTGGAAGGATGAGGTGGAAGGATCGCCTGAGCCCAGCAGGTCGAGGCTGCAGTGGCCAGGAGTGTGCCACTGCCCTCCAGCCAGAGGGAGACTCCCAACTCAAATAAAATAAAAAATAAATTAAAATGTTTGTTGCTAGATCTAGGTACTGTTTTATGCATTATACTTGTATAACTTTCATATTGGCTAAGCCTCATAATTATCCCCATTTTTTGTTTGTTTTTTGAATTAGAGTTTCTTTCTTTTTTTTTTTTTTTTTGAGTTGGAGTCTCACTCGGTCGCCCAGACTGGAGTGTAGTGGCCGCTCCGGGCCACCGCAGCCTCGCCTGCTGGGTTCCAGCGATCCTTCCGCCTCAGCCTTCCAAGTAGCTGGAACTACAGGCACATGCCATCACGCCCGGCTGATTTTTTAATTTATTGAAGAGATGAGGTCTTACCAAGTTGCCCAGGCTGGTCTCAAACCCCTGAATGCAGGCAATACTCTTGCCTCAGCCTCCCAAAGTGCTGGCATTACAGGCTTGAGTCAACACACCCAGACTTATCCCCATTTTAAAAGTTAATTTTTAATGGCTCACCCAGTCAGTAAGCAGTGGTGCCAAGGTATGAACCCAAAAGCTAACTCTAGACTAGACTTTACTGTCCCAACCAGTAAAGTATGTGTCTTTCGACTATATTAGTTATTCTAACTCTTCTTTATGTGATATAGATTGTAGTGGCAATATTGGGAGAGAGACTGCTAAATGGGGAAGAAGATTAGAAAAGATGCTATAATGTGAACTGCTGCTTTTTGTGCTCTTTGCTTTTCTTGCAGAATTTTCTTTAAATGCCCTAAATGAGAACTAGATATCATCAGTGTCATTTGCCTAGGATACAAAAAAAGGAAAGTCACCTCATGGAGGGAAAAGCAACATCATAAGTAGGTTTCTTTCACAAAACTTGAATAGAGATCAACTTCTTTTAAATCTGCCCCTTCTATGGTGTGGAGTGTGAGATGTCTCTACTACTACCAGACCTAAATAGTTCAAGTAAAGGGATCTCACAGAGGGTTGAGAAATTAGTACAAGTAATATTTGATTGCTTAATGAAATCTTGAGCAAAAAATTAAAGGCCCTGAGGCTAGACAAGGTGGTTTATTCCTATAATCACAGCACTTCGGGAGGCTGAGGCAGGAGAATCGCTTGAGCCTAGGTGTTTGGGACCAGTCTGGGCAACATAGTAAGATCTTGTCTATACCAAAAAAAAAAAAAGCATTAGCTGGGTGTGGTGGTACACACCTGTAGTACAACCTACTGAGAAGGTTGAGGGGAGGATCACTTGAGCCCAGGAGGTTAAAGCTGCAGTGAGCCGGGATCACACCACTGCACTCCAGCCTGGGCAATAGAAATGAAATAAAAAATAATTAAATAAATAATAAGATAAATTAAAGGACCTGGAATAAAAAATTATTCTAACTGATATCTCAGAGCGCTAAACCTTTCATTCATAGCCACATAAAACAAACAAGAAAAACAACTACTAAATAATTTAAGACTTGTCAAAAGAGGAGTCTCTTCTGCAGAAGGACCAAAAATTCTCCTTAAAAAAACCCTCCCTAGTGATTTATAATAAATCTTAGAGTAATTAAACGAATTATCTTCTCTCTGAAGCCTACATAGGGCATCACTCTTCCCCATCTTTCACCCAAGCACAAGCAGGAGGGTTCCTTCCCTGTTCCTACTGCACTCTATATGTAATTCTATTAGAACACTAATCAATATTACAGTGCAATTTCTTCTCCTTCTCTGGACTATGAATTCCCAGAGGGCCAAGACCCTATCTTACTCCCCTTTACATTTCTACTTCCTAATCTTCAAACCTAACACCACTGAAAGTACTTGAGAAAAGTGTGCTGAATGAACAAGGAAAGCAGCTAAAAACGACAGTCCTCTTTATGAAAAGGAATTCTGTTATCAGTATAAAATCTCTCCAACCTCTGCACCTTCAGTTCTGCCCACAAGTTTCCCTTTAGTTTTCCCAATAGCCAACAATTCAGGCTGAATGATAACATAGACTCTAGTCTTTTGAGAGCTAGAGAAAGAATCAAGGCACTTTGGTTTGCCTTAGCTTCCAATGAAGTAGGGAAAAATGTAGCTTTAAGGATCTGGAAGGTAGTCAAACTTTTCAAGAACTTTTATTCAGAAGCCAAAATGCAGGATAGTGTTTGAAATGCCTGCTTTTTATATTTAAATGCTGAAGGTAACAGGGAAAACAAATAATTTCAAATTAAAAAAAAACAAACAAATAATGATTAGTAAGCAGTTCCTGGTCATCCACTTACTTTTTGTTTTTTGAGTTGGAGTCTCAAATCTGTCTCCCAGCCTGGAGTGCAGTGACATGCTCATGGTCACAGTAGCCTCAACCTGTTGAGGTCAGGTGATCCTTTTGCCTCAGCCCTCCGGCTGAGGCACAAGTAGCTGGAAGCACAGGCGTGCACTACCACACACGGCTAATTTTTCTGATTAACTGTAGAGACAAGATCTCATACCAAGTTGCCCAGGCTGGTCTTGAACCCTTGAACTCAGGCAATTCTCTTGCCTCTGCCTCCCAAAGTGCTGGGATTACAGGGATGAGCCACTATACCCGACTTCACTTCTACTATTTTTCAGACAAAAAAATACCTAGCAAAAAGTATAAATCGGCTAGGCTCAGTGGCTTAGCATGTAATCCCAGCACTTTGGGAGGCTGAGTGAATGGATTGCCTGAGCCCGTGGGTTCAAGACTAGCCCAGGCAACAAGGCGAGACTCGTCTCTACAATAAATCAAAAATTAGCTGGGCGTGGTAGAGCACTCCTCTAGTTTCAACTACTTGGAAGGCTAAGGCGGAAGGATTGCCGGAGCCCAGCAGGTTGACACTGAGGTGGCCATGAGTATGCCACCACACTCCAGCCTGGCCTGGGCAACGGAGTGAGACTCCAACTCAAAACAAAAAACAAAAAACAAGTCTGGGTTATAGCCCTCAGCCAAGTGGGAGGCACTTTTCATGTACTGGTATGAGTGCACTTAGACCATACTCTAATAATGATTAGTCAAACCACTTTGAGGATTATTTGGTTAGGCAATCCCTTAAAGTAAAAATCTTTGGGTAAGGAAGTTATCTTTCTCACCAATTGAAGAAAATTCAAAACAATCTTCCAGTTTAAGCTACATTACACTGGAAAGAAAATGTCCCGTCACATATTTTATATGCCATTCTTTGGTTATCACATTACCTTGGTTAGAGTCCACTGGATCTTCTTCTATATGAGCAATGACACGCCTGAGATAAATTTGCTTCTGCTCTTCTAAATTTGATTGTGAAAACACTGGAGCATTAGTCCTGGAACAAAGCAAACCATGAGGGAAAATAGTCCAATAGAACCATTAGTATACTCAAAAAAAAAAAAAAAAAACCATCAGTATAGTACTTTGTAAAGAGAAGTCATATACTGCTGATTAGTTAGAACAAGTAAGTTCCAGAGATAAAATTTCCAGGAGCAGAAGATCACGTTAGTCACACAATATGAAGCTGAAATCAAGGAGTTGGGAGAAAGAGGAAGAAATAGACACAATTTCCTGCTAACAAGGAACATGAAGATGAAGATTACCTAGTCTGTAGAGAAAGAAAGCATTTGTTGATTAGTCAGGATATAGCTAACTTCACACAACCAAGTTAGAAAGCTGAAAGAGATAAGACAAAAAAAACCCATTGAGATCTGGCAATTAAGGCAATGGTGACATTGGCAAGAACAATTTCTGACCTTTACTGATACTGATTGACTGTACTAACGAGTTAGTGGATGAGAATACTGAGATAATAAATTTAGTACTGTTCCAAATAGCCTGCCTTGTGTTCTTTTGATAATAATTTCTATTGCAAGCAATTCACAAGAATTCCTTCAATTATGAAAAAAAACAACAAACTGGGATTAAGGGTACTAGTCAAAAGGAATCTTAGCCTTATTTATAAGAATTAAAATTTTTACACTAAGGAAATATATAATAAATGTATAATCAAAAGTCAATCTGATTCAATCTAAAAAAGTTTTTCTAGCACAATTGAAAAGGCCCATGTGGTGACACTGCCATCTCCTGGCAACAAGAAAATAAACTGAAAAGATGACCCAAATATGCAACCCCTACAGGAACTTTCCCCAAGGACAGTTGTATGCAAATTGGGAAAGATAACAAAATGATTTTCTACTAGCTATACTTTTAACATTTCTGTTAACCTCCTATCATAAATGTGGCCAAGCTTCCCCATACACAGAAGAAACCTTACATTTATACAGTGCTTTCACTAGTCTTTTTTTACTTTCTTTTGTTGTTGTTGTTGTTCGAGTTGGAGTCTCACTCCGTTGCCCAGGCTGGAGTGCAGCAAACATACTCATGGTCTCCCATTGACCTGCTGGGCTCAGGCGATCCTTCTGCCTCAGCCTTCCAAGTAGCCAGAACTGCAGGCGCGCACTACCATGCCCAGCTAATTTTTTGATTTATTGTAGAGATGAGGTCTCGCCAAGTTGCCCGGACTGGTCTCGAACTCGTGGGCTCAGGCTATCCTTTTACCTCGGCCTCCCAAAGTGCTGGGATTACAGGCTTGGATCACCACGCCTGGCCTTTTACTTTCATAATAACCTTGTAAGGCAGCAGAGAAGGCATAATTAGCCTTATTTTATGCATAAAAACTGAGGTGAGGCTGGGCGCAGTGGCTTACTCCTGTAATCCTAGCACTCTGGGAGGCTGAGGTAGGAAGACTGCTTGAGCCCAGGAGTTTGAGACCAGCCTAGGCAACACAGCGAGACATCACCTCTGTAAAACAAAACAAAACAAAACAAAACAAAAAAGCACACACAAAAAAAATTAGCCAGATATAGTGGCAAGTGCCTGTAGTCCCAAGCTACTCGAGAGGCTAAGGCAGAAGGCTTGCCTGAGCCTAGGAGGTTGAGACTTCGCTGAGCCTTGATCATGCCACTGCACTCCAGCCTGATTGAGAGTGAGACTCTTACTCAAAACAAAACCAAACAAAAAACTGAGGTGAGAGATTATTTGACTTGCCCGAGATCACATAGTTGGTAGTGCCAGAACTTCAAGTTTGCTTACTCCTGAAGCAGGGTTTTTTGCCCATACTAAAGGGAAACTGAGGAGGAAAGGAACTGAAGAGAACCAACAGAAATCAGAAATCAGAATAATTATACGGTTAGGTTACCTGGTTTTGGTTTGTAGAACAGGAATGACTTTGCCTAGTCTTCTCTCATGGCCTTTCATCTTTCCAGAATCCTTGCCAAGAACATCCTGCTTTTTTTCAGAGCAAAAAGAATGAGAAAGGAAAAGTAGTCTTAGCTTTAAGAAAACCACTGAAAACACCACTATGGAAATATTTTTTAACTAAAGACTACAAAAGCATATCCTTGAACACTACTGTGTACCAGGTATTATGGTAGTGCTTGAAGTGAGATCTCAGCAGGGCACAGTGGCTCATGTCCATAATTCCACCACTTTGGGAGGCAAAGGTGAAAGGATTGCCTGAATCCAGGGGCTCGAAATCAGCCTGGACAACTTGGCGAGACCTCATCTTTACATCAAAAAACTAGCTGGGTGTGGTGGCATATGCCTGTAGTTCCAGCTACTTGGAAGGCTGAGGCAGAAAGATCACCTGAGTCCAGCAGGTTGAGGCTGTGATGGTTGTGAGCGTGCCACTGCACTCCAGACTGGGTGTCAGGGCTAGTCAGGATTCAAACCCCAATTTGTCTGAATACAAAGCTCTGCTAAGATTGCAGCAAATGTACTACTGTGGTATAAGATGTCCATAGTAGGGGAAGTTGTACAAGTGGGGGGGAAAGGGGATATATGGGAACTCTGCTATACAGCTTCTGAGTGAAAATAATTTTGTTTTTCTCTTCATCTTTAACTCTATCTACTTTAAATGTAGGTACACCTTTAAATGTAAATGTATACCTCTAAATGTACCTACTTTATTTGATGAACTGGAAACAACTGGAAGCTTCATTTCACAACTTGATTTATGTGATTCACCATTTTTCCAGGATGACTCCATATTAGGAGTCTCTGAATGGTCTGAGATCTGAGAGAATGCAGATGTAGGTTTCTTACTGTCAGGCATATTTTTATTAGAGATAGTTTGTTGAAAGTTACTGTTTGCAGAAGAGCGCAGGGGTCCATCCCACGCAGAGTTATTGGGGCTAATCCCTTCAGATACGGTGCAAAGTTTGCTCTCATTTGGGCTTAAACTATCTCCTCTTATCGCTTCCCCAAAGGAAGAGGGTTTTTCAGTATCTTTGGATGAATCAGTCTTGTCCTTATCAAGCACAGCATCACAAACTGTTGGATTAAATGGTGCAACAGTTACTTTAATAAGATTCTTTTCTACTGCAGAGCGTCTGTTTAATGGTTTAGTAGGATTTGATCCATGACCAACTGATGTACTTAGTTGAGGTAGTTTGACGAGGACAGGGATCTCAGGCTCAGCTACTGATCCCAAGCTGGACAATGAATTTTTCTCTTGAGGAGTATCAAGTAGAACTTGACTCCCTGTTCCTTCCTTTTCAACACGTTGGCCATCATCTTTACACAACGTTCCTCCACAAGAAGTATTCTCATTTGATAGGTCATCATCCTTCAAGAATCTCTCAATCTCTTCCTCGGTGTAACTAAAATTGTCATCATCTTCTTCTCCATCAGACAGTTCCAGCAAGGAGTCATCTAATTTCTCCTCATCCAAGGAACCCCAAGAAAATGGGGTAGTGTCTTTAGGCAAGAGAGAGGTACCAGAAGACTGTTCAGAGGGTACCTGTGAGCACGTCATATCCGGAGAAATAAGAGGCGGTTTCACTGAGGAACAGGAAATAACCTTATATCAATTCCAATCCATTGTATATGGGATGATATTCTAACATTTCAAAATCTTTGCACTGTGACTTGTAACATACTGGGTGCGGTGCTCATGCCTGTAAACTCAGCAGTTTGGGAGGTGGAGGTGAACAGATTGCCTGAGTCCAGGGGTTTGACACCAGCCTGGGCAACTTGGCGAGACCTCACCTTTACAATAAATAAAAAAATTAGCCAGGCGTGGTGGCATACGCCTGTAGTTCCAGCTACTTGGAAGGCTGAGGTGGCCATGAGCATGCCATGGCACTCCAGTCTGGGTGACAGATTCCAACTCAAAAGACAAAAACAGAAATAATTTTAAGATATATTTAACCTTACTAGAAGCACGGAAATACACGTTAGAACAATGAGACTTTTTCCTATCAAAATGGTAGTAATTAAGATCACATGATAATCTGCATTAGTGAGGATTTAGAGAAACAAGAATTTAAACACTATCGGTAAGAGTTTGTCAACACAACATTTTGTGAAGAAAAATCTGGCAATAACATTTGACCCAGCAATTTCACTTCTGGAAATATATCCTTTAGAAGTGCCTGTTTCAAATGCACAGGGATACATATACAAGGATTTCAAAGCAGTGCTATTCAAAATAGCCAAAAATTGGAGGCAATCTAAATGTCCATCACCAAGAGAACTGTTCAGTAAAATCATAGCACACTCATGCTATGGAATATTCATTAACTATTTAAAAGCACAATGAAATAGATCTATATGTACTATCATGGAATGATATTGACAACATACAAACAAAACAAATATACGTTATATCAAATGCTTAGGCACTCAGATTACACTTTAAAAAAAAACAAATATGCATTACTTTTGAAATTCAAAAAAAAATCAAGAATACAAGAAGATAAATGTCTTCCATACTGTGTGGAGCTGCTGGAGTGATCTCTGCCTTTGCCACAAGAGCAAATGGAAAAAGGTTTCAGCTCCTGCTAGCTGTTCCTTTCAGGAGACTTGTCAAAATGATTGACTCCCACCTTCCTGCAGGCACAAAGAAAATTAAAGGATCTTCTCATCACTTTCAACTCTGCTAATTACAAAGTCAACTGTATTATGCTTTAAGGTGCTCCATGTATTAATTTTGATCTTGATTTTTTTTTTTAATATCAGAAAGTTGGATTTTTTTAAGTCAAGAACACCAAAAAAAATCTTTAGAGAAAAAATTATGCAACTAAAGGAACTAGTTTTGTTCCTCCCAAAAATGTGTACTTTCTTAAGACTATCATTTCCTTTATAGGATGCATACTGGCTTGGGAGTCCAAAGACTTGGGCTGTAGTCCTTGTTGTATCACTAACCAACTCTAATAACATGGCAAGCTACTTGACCATCTGGGTTCATTGATAAGACAGGAAAGTGACAGATTAGGCAATGTCTAAGATTCCACCAAAATCTAAAAATTAGTTGCAACCACACATTTTAAAAATTTCATTTTCAATATATATATAAATGCAAAAAAAAGTTCAGTAAAGACACAAACACAGCCGGGCTCAGTGGCTCAGCCTGTAATCCTGCGCTTTGGGAGGCTGAGGTGAGTGGATTGCCTGAGCCGGCAGGTTCAAGAACTGCCTGGGCAACTTGGCGAGACCTCATCTCCACAATAAATCAAAATATTAGCCAGGCATGGTAGCACGTGCCTGCAGTTCCAGCTACTTGGAAGGCTGAGGCAGGCATAGTAGCACACGCCTGTAGTTCCAGCTACTTGGAAGGCTGAGGCAGAAGGATCGCTGGAGCCCAGTAGATTGAGGCTGCGGTAGCCGGGAGCATGCTACTGCACTCCAGTCTGGGCAACAGAGTGAGACTCCAACTCAAAAAAGAAAAGAAAAGACACAAACACAAAGTTATTATAACCTGTGGGAAAACAGAGGTAGGTCAAGGAAAGACTTTTGTCAGTATTGTTTTAATTTTCTACTTGTATGTTTACTTGTATAATTAAAATCTAGCTTGTTTTGTTTCTCTGAGTTGAAGTCTCACTCTGTCACCCAAGCAGGAATACAGTAGCACAGTCCTGGCTCACTGAAGCCTTGGCCTCCTGGGCTCAGGTGATCCTTCTGTCTCAGCCTCCAGAGTAGCTAGGATTACAGGCATGCACCACCACACTCAGCTAATTTATTTTTTTGTAGAGACAAGGTCTATGTTGCCTAGGTTGGTACTGAACTCCTGGACACAAGCAATCCTCTTGCCTCCACCACCCTAAATGCTGGGATTATAGGCATGAGCCATCATGCCCAGCCAAAATCCAATCTTTAAACAGTTAATGACAGACCCAATGTATAATCATTTCCCAGATGAGAAAGATGATAGAAGCTGATATTTCACATATCACATCTGAGAAACTGTAAGAAATGCTTAAATACTGCACTCAATCATTTGGAAAATTCCTGTAGCTCTTTTTTCTTGGCATTAGAGTCTCACTTCATCGCCCAGGCTGGAGTGCAGTGGCATACTCACAGCTACCGTAGCGTCGACCTGCTAGGCTCCCTCGATCCTTCTGCCTCAGTCTTCCAAGTAGCCGGAACTACAGGCCTGCGCTACCACATCCAGCTAATTTTTTATTTTTTTGAGTTGGAGTCTCACTCTGTTGCCCAGACTGGAGTGCAGTGGCTGCTCCCGGCCACCACAGCCTCGACCTGCTGGGCTCCGGCGATCCTTCCGCCTCAGCCTTCCAAGTAGCTGGAACTACAGGCGCGCACTACCACACCCAGCTAATTTTTTTTATTTATTGTAGAGATGAGGTCTCGCCAAGTTGCCCAGGCGGGTCTCGAACTCGCAGGCTCAGGCAATTCACTCACCTCAGCCTCCCAAAGCACGGGATTATAGGCTGAGCCACCGTGCCCGGCCTAATTTTGTATTTATTGTAGAGACGAAGTCTCACCAACTTGCCTGGGCTGGTCTTGAACCCCTGGGCTCAGGCAATCCACTCACCTTGGTCTCCCAAAATGCTGGGATTACAGGCTGAGCCACTGAGCCCAGCCCTTGTAGCCTTCTAACTGTAAGATTTCCCCTACTCCACTGCCCTCCATTACCACACCTTGAGTTTTAACTTCAATTCATGCATTCTTTTAGAAAATATTTTCTGAGACAAAAATTATTACACAACTACATGATGTCTCTATATGGTTTCCAAGAAATAAAGACATAGTTCCCAACCTCAAGGAATGTATAATCTTTCTAGGGAGACAACACTGAAAATTAAGCACCAATATGAGATAGATTTTACAATTCTAATTTAGCCCCAATACAACTGGTAAATTTAATCTTATCAAAGAAACTAAATTTTCTGTTATATTTAAACTTATAGCCACTAGTACTTTTTTTTATTTTACCAATACTGTATTCTAGCAATTGTGAGAGTTTCAGGTATTGAAGCAGGTACCTCTATGAAGAAAAAAGTGATTCTCTGCCTAATTACTTTTTACAGAGTGAAGCTATTCCTTTAGGCAGCAGGAACAAAAACTTTTGAAATGTTTATTTGATCTAAGAAAGTTTATAGTTGTCAGACACAAATATCACAGGTACTGGGTTTAAGCAGCTACATTTCTTAGAAGTCCTTTCTAGACCACTGCCCCCTCATCCCAATTCCTTACAATAAGGCCTAGTCCAAGCCCTTACTTGGCCAAATGGAGAATTCAACAGATTGTCACTCTTGAGAAACTTAAGTACATAGGAATTAAAGTAACTTAACCGAGTACACATAACTAATGATGCTAGAACAAGGATCAAAATCCATGTCTAATTCCAAAGGCAATATTTTCCTTACCACCCTTGTGACAAACTTGTCCAGAATTGGTCAGCAAATGGCAAAGCTAGATTTGAGACTTAGGCCTTCTAAATTCAGTACAATCTCTAATAAACTATGGAAGATGTAGATACCATCTGTAGGGTTTTTGTCTTGGAAAAAAATAATTTAAACCATCTTATTATGCATAGAAGGCTTCCCTTGGTCTCACAGGTGGAAAGAAAGAACATGAGAAATACCTATGAATGTAACCAAACTTCACTAGAAGAAAAACATTACTTGCAAACTTTACTTGCACGCATAGGATCAATATCCTTCACAACCACTGCAGTAATCAATTTCTATGTGACATATCTAAACATACAAAACTGGCTTTTCTGAGCTTTTCTCACAGAATGTTCCAATAGGTCTAGGAGCAAAAACACAAAAAACAATACCAAATATACGTACAGAGGGAGAGATAATTTTTAATTTGCACAAATCATTCTTTGCAATGTCATTTGCACATTTTCAAAAGTACTTTTTATTACAGAAAATGTAAAATATATACATAAGTAACATAATAGTATAATGAGCCCCCACCTACCCACCATTCCTAACAACTATCAGCCCATGGTTAATCTTGCCCCATCTACTTCTCCCCTTTACTGGGTTATTTTGAAGCAAATCCCAGGCATTACATCATTTCATCTGTAAATAACAAAAATTCCTTATCATAAAATATTCAGATTTCCAATTATCATTTTTTTTAAGCTTAAAAAAAATCAGTATCCAAACAGGGGCTATACAATGTGCTAGCTGACATGTCTTATGAGTATTTTAATCTACAGACACCCTATATTTTTTTCCAGAAATGTATTAAAGAAACAATATCATATATTGGGTACAGATACATATCTATCATAAAACTACAAAAATTCACATGAAGACGAAAAACCAAATTCAGGATAGTGGTTACCTCTGGTACTGGAGAGGGAAGAGGAATGGCTGGGGGGCATGAGGAGTTTTAATTCTATCTGCAATGTTTTATTTCTTTAAAACAAGAAGCTGGACAAGGTGGCTCAGCCGATAATCCCAGCACTTTGGGAGGCCAAGGCGAGAGGATTGCCTGAGTCCAAGGGTTCAAGACCAGCCTGGGCAACTTGGTGGGACCTCGTCACTACAATAAAAATCACAAAAACTAGCTGGGCACAGTGGCATGCGTCTGTAGTTCCAGCTACTTGGAGGGTTGAGGCAGAAGGATGGCGTAAGCCCAGCAGGTCGAGGCAAGAGTGGCCATGAGCATGCTACTACACTCCAGCCTGGGTGAGAAGAGTAAGACTCCAACTCAAAAAACAAGTAACAAGAAAAGACCTGAAATAAATATGGCAACATAAAACAAAGCTGGACAGTAGATATAATGGTATTCATTATTACGCTGCTTTCTTATATGCTTAAAATAATAAAAACATTTTAAAATTATCAAGTCAGTGGGAAAAATAAAATGACTATACTCAAGTCTTAAATAAACTCCCTGTATAGTAAAGAATATCGTAGTATCTACCTCATAGGGTTGTTAATAAGAATTAAATGAAATCATAAATTTAACACACTAAAGGCACAATGTAAAAGACAAATTAAGTGCTGGCCATAGTCATCAATTCATCCAACCGTCATCATCTCCCTGACCCCTGAAGAGTCTTAAGAGAAGGACAGGAATGACAGGAAAAGAGTATCAGACTGGTACATAACTTCCCCCAGACCCTGCCTGAAATTATCCAGTAAACTCTGTCTTTTATTTTAACCCAGCATTCAACCATATTGTCACTAAGGACCAGGCTATATGGCCATCTGAAATATCAGGCTAATTCTGCAAGTTAATGCTCACTGATCAATCTTGTATAGAGGAACTGGACTTCAGCTATTCACTTCAAGTCCCTGAATCTCAATACAGATGAGAACACACATCTGCAAAAAGGGGGATACATATTTAGTTAACTTCAAACACATATAGCATGAGGATTAAATGAGGGGATGTTTATGAAAGCACTCTAAACCTAAAAGTTCTATACCAATGAAATTTGATTCTTGGCCAGGCAGTGGCTCAAGCCTGTAATCCCAGCACTTTGGGAGGCCAAGGTGAGAGGATTACCTGAGTCCAGGGGTTTGAAATCAGCCTGGGCAACTTGGTAAAACATCTCTACAATAAATCAAAAAATTAGATGGATGTGGTGGCACACGCCTGTAGTTCCAGCTACTTGGAAGGCTGAGGTAGAAGGATTGCCTGAGCCCAGCAGGTAGAGGCTGTGGTGGTCGTGAGTGTGCCCACTGCACTCCAGCCTGGGCAACAGAGTAAGACTCCAACTCAAAAAA